CTTGTTGACAGCAGCAAATTATTATATTATTATTATCATTATTGTATTACTAAACATATATCAACTATTCTTATGTGTTTATTCTTCAAGATGAATTTTATTATTTTTTGGTTTGAAAAGATTTTTTTTTATTAAGTCAAATACACATAGATCATGAATACATTCATGCACATATGGGGTACAATGTGCTGATCATTTTTTTTTATAGAGTCTGACATGATTACATTAATATACCAGTCAACATAGCTTTCACCTCATTTACTTGATTATTGTACCAAAACATCTATGTTCTACACTTCACAGATTTGACTTGTACCCTTGTCATATGCTCCGTAGGTGTGGTCCTGCCTTTTAAACTCCCTCTGTCAAACCTCCCACCTCCCCTCCTTTCCAGAATAATCATGTTGAATTCCCCAAAGGTCTTGTTTAGACTTTTCCAGGATTATTTGCACCTTTGAAATTTTGAGTCTTCCCATGTACCATTATGCTGTGTTTCTAGCTGTTCGTATTTTATCTATTTTTATCTTTAAGTTTCCTTAGATACATTTTGGAGCTTCCTACATATAGATTCCACATTTCATCTTAAATTAATTTTAAGTATTTTATTAATTTTACTTTTATTATGAACAAGATCCCTGCTCATGTTTTCAAACTGGTTTTTCTAACTATTTATGTCTTAATATCAGTCAGTTACTTTTAAATAATATTTGTTGAGTTTTTATTGTGGGTAAGGTACTAGTAGTTACTTTCATAATGCTTTTCATATTTACAACTTATTCCTAGTTTACAGTTGAGATAATTAATAGAAACAAGTAGGAACAAAGAGATTGTTCAAGGTTACCCAACAAAGTAGTGTTAGAGCTAGAGTTTTAATCCCAATACGTCGGACCACAAAACTCTGTTTCTGTAGAGGGATTTATGTTCCCTGATAAGCTTAATTCAATAACAAATTATATAAAGATAAGCTATGGAGATGAATGAGATAATGAATGTAAAATTGCCTTGAAAGGTTCAAGGAATATAAATGAGCTATCCAAGATTAATGTAGCAATTTCACTGTGAAATTAAAAATTGGTAATTAGAGAATAGCTAAGATCTGGCATTGCCCTTTAATAGTTTAGAAGTCATAGAACTTTTTTGTTTATAAAATTTTCGAGGTGTTCTCTGAATATCTGCGTCAGATACATTGCAAAGTAGATGTGTTTTCAATGGTCTTGAGGGTATTTTTTTTTTTAATATTAAAAGTTCCATTTAGGAGCCCTTTAAATGATGATGATAGTGAACATGTTTAAGGTTTTTTTAGTGATGACCGTGGCCAAACTAGTTCTTTCCTTCAATGCAAATTTCATTTTGTAACTTTGAAGTTACCTGCCATGCTATTTTGGTGCTGAATATGAAACAGTGAATAAAAATACAAATAATAAACAAGCAAATACATAATTATATCTTAAGAAAAATGCCATGAAGATAGTGGGCCAGGCAGAGGAAACCACCTGTGACAAGGCCCAAAGCACATTTTAAGAACTCTGACAAAGCCAGTGGTGCTAGAGGGTAACAGGTGAGGCAAGAGTTGCAGCTGTCTGGTGTTGGCCAGGTGGGAAAGGACCATCACATGCAAGCAAGCTTGAGGAAGAATTTGAATTTCATTCACAGTGCAATGGGGTGTCACTGAAAGTCTCTAAGGACACCAACATGGACCAGTTGAGTATATTAAAGCATTGTGGGGGCTGTTACGTCAAGAAAAATCAAGACTGGCAGTGGGAAGACGAGGAAGGAAGCCAGTCTGTGAGCCACGTTTCCTCAGTCTTGGCAAAGGTGGCCTATTGAGTCGGCTGCTGTTTTGTTACGGGGTTGTCCTGTCACCATAGCACACTCAGCAGCAGGTCTGGGTTCCACCCAGCAGGTGCCAGTAGCAGCCCCAGCCCCAAATTGTGAGAACCAGAAAGGTCTCTAGACATTTCCAGGTGTACCTTAGGGGTGATGTGTCCCTGGTTGAGAGCCCACTGCTAAGCTCAGGAGCAAGAGGACATCGGAGTGGTATGATGACGAGAGGTGGGGAGAAGGGATTAGGGAGGGGGTTGGGTGGAAGAGGATGTGAGATGTTGGCTGGAAGGAGAGGTCCTTCATTCTCGCCTTCTTGTCAGGTTTTCCAGATGTTCCTTAGCAATTTTCGTAAACATAATTACCCACAACTGATCCTTAACCTTCCGTGCCCCTTAGATCAGGGGTGGTGAACCTTTTCAAGTTGGAAGGCCCCATTAATTTAGGTGTAATCAAATAAAGCCACATACAAGAAACATCAATTAGATGAATGTCCAAATGTACATTATTTTGTAAAACTACTTTCTAAAGTCAATAACTTGTGTCTGCTTCTTGTTGGAAAGCATTTGAATATTTGGTTGCAGCATAGAGGTCCACAGTCAGTTGATCCTCTCGAGGGGTGTCAGCCATTTGTGACCTTAAGGACATCTTAATTTGGGTTAGGTGGGAGAATGTAAATGTGTAGCAGTAAGTGGTTGAAAAGCAAGAAAGCGCTTTTTAATCATGTTGCTAAAGGTGTGAGTATTCTACTGCATTTTTCTATATTTTAATTGGATCTTTCTTAGCATCAAACAATGACTTTAAAATGTCATCTGCTAAGTATTCAGTCAATTCCATCTGAAGTTCTTTAGGTGCCCTGGTGATGCCAACTAGGTGAGACTGAAATGCTGACTTGAGTGTGATGTCATGGTTCCCAAAGTCAGTGAACCTGTCTTTGTCTTCCCCAGTTAATATATCTATAACAGCTGTGTATGCAAATGATTCACATATATCATGCTGCTCATCAGTGGCCTTTGCTATGTGGGGAAAATATTCATCTGAAATTTCCTGTTGAAGACGTATTTTGAAAAAGATAGTTTTTTTCCAAAATACTTGGATTTTTTTTTGCCAAATATCATACTTAGTTTTGTCTTCCAAAAAATATTTAAGTCATTTTGATTTGACATGATGTTACCCAGAAATGCTACATTCCTATAGAAATTTTATTTTAATAATTCTCATTGTTGATTCTGTTCTTCATAAAATTTAATTGTCCTCACAGAGATAAAATTCTACCTAACACCTGTCCCTGTAATAATCCACACACTTTAGAATGATACACCAAATCCACACTGAATACTTTATCCTTCAACTTCAGCTCATTGCATTTGCATGAATATAGTTAACAGTACTTATTGCTTGTTGTAAAGTGTCACTTAAAATAGTAGGTTTAGCACAGAGATTTTGCTGACGCAAGGTACAGTGAAAAGAAATTTGAGTATCTGGGTCTGTTAATGCAGTGCAATAAACCCTTTGTGTTTTCCTGTCATGGAAGGTGCACTGTCCATCTATACACTCGCTAAATCTACCAAATTCAGTCCAACTTGATGAGATTTATCTTGAAAGTTGTTGAAGATAACTGATCTGTGTTCTGTTCACAAGAGAACCCAAAGCAAGTAGCTCTTTGTAGCGAGGAAAATCTTCTGTTAAGACCTGCATAAAGGATAAAACTGCATCGAGTCAATCAGTGGATTGATCCAAAGCAACTGAATTATACATATTTTCCTTTTGAAGTATTACATGAAGTTGTTTTGGTAAGTTGAAGGCTAACTTCTGCTCCCAGTCAGTTGTGATTCTCCTGGAAAGAGGCAGTTGTTTGCACTATGAAACTTTATCAGGGTCTAAGCATCCTACAATTTCAACAATACATTATTTCACAATTTCTACATCACTGAAGGCTTACCTTTTTTCCTGAGTGTAAAAGCTACTTCATAAGATGCTTCAATGGCTTTACTTCCAGGTTTTATTGCTGCTTAATAGCATTGTTTTTTGCTTTGGCTTTTATCTTTTAATTTCTGCAGTACAACCTTCTGTGATTGTCCCCTCATTTAAAGTATTTGTGGTCCTTATGAATATTACAATGCTGATGAGCTTTGAATTTCTTTAACGTTGATATTGCATTATCACAAAGCAAGCAAGTTGTTTTATCTTTAGCAGAAACAAGATAATATTGCAATTCCCAAGTCTCATTAAAAAATCTGTTTTCTGCCTTCAGTGTTCCCCTGGTCGTCTTTGGCATGATGGACTGTTAAGCAGATAGAATTTAAAAAATACTGTTGAGTTGTGCAGTTATTCACAAATTCCACTTAGAGACACAGTGCACAGTTGTCAAAAGCTGATAACAAACTTGTATACTCAACCCGGTAGACTCTTTTTTTTTTTTTTTATTAAATGATAGCTGTATATATTAATGCAAACATGGGGTACAGTGTAGTGTTTTCATATACAATTTGAAATACTTTCATCAAGCTGGTTCACATAGATTTCATGTCATTTGCTTAGTCATTGTGTCAAAACATTTGTATTCTAGTTCTAGAAAAGTTCACTTGTACCCTTGTTAGACAGATATATAGGTGATCTTTCCGGTCACCCTCCCACCACCCAGCCGTCCTTCTCCCCTCCCCTTCCCCACCCCCTCCCCATATTCTTGGGCTAGAATTAAGTTGTATCTTTCACCCTGTAGACTCTTAACAACTAGTTTCAAACAGTAGTGGCACAAATCAGTGAGGGAATTTAGAACTAACTCCTGAGTGTAGCAGCCATCGTTCAGCCCTTTGGCTTACTAATGTTCTAATTGTGCCAGTCAGTCTAGGATGATTATTTCACTGAAACTTATTTTATTTTTTAGTATTTTAAATACATTCACTTAAAAAATAAAGTAAAAATATAAAAGACAAACAAAAATGTATTAATAAAAATAAAAGAATTTGTTGTATAAAATTTGGATTCAGTCAAAAGGCTGTACTTAAGGACCTAGATGACCACGTGTGGTCTTAAGACCACAGGTGCTTTAGGTTTTCCAATGTCATCTCTGTTTTGTGTTCCATAGATAGGAAAGATCTGCCCACTGCTCCCTACACCCAGACCAACACCATTTTTAAACATCAGAGAGGTGATGGGAATGCTTGGTCTTTTCCCAGGAATCCTGAAGTGGGTAAAACTGATCGACAACTTTGAAGGAGAGTACGACTACGTGACCAACGAGGGGACGGTGTTCACATTCAAGACAAATCGCCACTCTCCCAACTATCGTCTGATCAACATTGACTTCACGGATCCTGACGAGTCTAAGTGGAAGGTGCTTGTTCCTGAGCACGAGAAAGATGTCTTAGGTAAGAATACGTGCTACTTGAAAATCGTGCTTTTTGTTCTTGATGAGAACGCCGAGAAGTGACCACATCTGTCATTCTTGAGGCAGGGTAAAAGACCTTCAACCTGTAATCATCACATGACCTTCATTCAGAATGAGGTGCCTCCAAGTCTTCACAGTGGGACATCTTTGTAGTTTAGTATGAGATCACATAGAACTTTCAAAGGTGCTTTTGTAAAAATGCCAGTTGTCTTTGCCTACTTAACTATCTGATGACAATCACAAATGTTTAATTGTTTAAACTGTTTAAGCTTAGAACCTTTCTTTTACGCTTTTGATTGACCTTTGGCTATTTGTCTTGTTCCTGTTGTAGATCTTAGGGTGGAGGTAGAGCCCTACTAGGAAAGAGGATAGATGGTTATCAGGCTTAATCTAGCCCGTGCAGCTGCTACTCTGTGCAGTGAGCTGCATTCACCTCTCGAGAACCTCATTCTGTTCCGTATCAGCTGCCTCTTGGTTCCCTTTTATTTATTCTCTCTGTGATCTTTCCAAAAATGATGCTCTGCATATAAATTATTTATTATGTGAAAGCTTAAATTGGTTAAAATAAGATTCACCAGTTTAAGGACAAGTTTTTACACAAAAGGAGTGTTCAGTACCTCCAGGCCAATGAAAGTTTCCTTGTCGGAGGTGAGCGGATGGATTGAATAGGGATAAAATCCAGGGCCATTTATAAATGCAAAGGTATATGGTATATAATCAGGAAAATAATTTATTTTGAGATTTGCAGAGT